GTGTGCGACACCCTCCCGCCCATGTTACTCCGTGTGCGACACCCTCCAATCTGTGTTGCTCCGTGTGCAACACCCTCCAGTCTGTGTTACTTCGTGTGTAACACCCTCCCGCCTATGTTACTCCATATGCAACACCCTCCAGACTGTGTTACTCCATGTGCAACATCCTCTTGCCCATGTTACTCTGTGTGCAACACCCTCCAGTCTGTGTTACTTCGTGTGTAACACCCTCCAGACCGCATTACTCTGTGTTCAACGCCCTCCAGTCTGTGTTACTCCATGTGCAACACCCTCCAGTCTGTGTTACTTCATGTGTAACACCCTCCAGACCACGTTACTCCGTGTGTAACACCCTCCAGTCTGCGTTACTCCATGTGTAACACCCTCCAGTCTGTGTTACTCCGTGTGTAACAGATTCCAACCTATCATACTGTGTGTAACACTCTCCCGCCTGCGTTACTGTGTGTAACACCCTCTAGTCTCTAGCCTACTCCTATTTCAGAGGCACATCTGTTTGTCTGCATTGTTTACTTGGCCATGCGTCACACCTTTATGGTATTGAACAGAAAAAGACTTCAATTCCCCTTCCAACTTCATTTGATATAGACCCATCCCCCTCTCCCTATGTCTCCCTCACAAGCTTTGCATGTAAATCAATCAATTTACAGGAAACACGGGTGATTTACTGATGGTGGTTAATAGATGGAAAAAAATACCGCAATGATTTGATGATGGGAAAAAAAACATTCAGTTGTGTGTAACAGCACTTCTGGATATTAAAAAAAAGACTTACATTGATATAGCAATCTCATACAGCACAGGACACCACAAAGCCCTTTACAGTCAATGAGGTACTTTTTGAAGGGTCTCAGTAGACATAGTCCCACATTGTCATTAGAGAGAGAGACGACTGGTAGTGCCCTAACCTGAGGGCCACCACACCTCAGGCAAAAGAAGAGCTTGAGAAGATTACAACCTCAGAACCTGCACTGTTGGCATCCAATCAACTGAACTTACTGACTCTCAGTACCACTCGTGTTGCTCACACAAATAGAAACTGCAGCTTTACAAATGACCACCAGAGGGTAGCAAATGCCCAGCCTGCTCAGAATGCCCTTCATCTTCAGTCTAGGGGCTGAACCCTGGGCAAGAAGTGAGGAAGGATCAGGGAGACTGACTGAACAATCCCACAGCGAACCACCCCACTGTCGTGTATCAAGGAGGCTCAAAGCAGCCCAGGACTCCTGGAAAAGAGGTCTCCCTTGGAAACACTCCACCTTTGCGTTTTCAACTCTGGCTAGACACATTCCTGGAGGCTGGTTCATGTGGAGAGGGCTTGGAGGAGCAGTCACATCACTGGACTAATAACTAATAATCTCAGACAAATGCTCTGGGGATGTGGATTCGAATCCCACTGGGGTATTGTTTACTTGGCCATGCGTCACACCAAGGGCGGCACGGTGGCTCAGTGGTTAGCACTGCTGCCTCACAGCGCCAGGAACCCGAGTTTAACTCCACCCTCGGGTGACTGTCTGTGTGGAGTGTGCACATTCTCCGGGTGCTCCGGTTTCCTCCCACAGTCCAAAGATGTGCAGGTTAAGTCGATTGGCCATGGTAAATTGCCTGTAGTGTTCAGGGATTTGTAGATTAGGTGGCTTACAAGGGGATGGGTCTGGGTGGGATGCTCTGAGGGTCGGTGTGGACTTGTTGGGTCGAAGGGCCTGTTTCCACACTGTAGGGATTCTATGATTCTATAGATGGTGAAATATAAATTCAATGAAAATCTGTATCTTTTGTAATATGAACCCATCTGATTTGCTGATGTCCTTTTGTAAAAAAAAACCTGCCATCCTTACCCAGTCTGGCCTACGTGACTCCAGATTTACAGCAAGAAGACCTTAAGATGTGGGAGCAAAAGTAGGCCATTCAGCCCATCAGGACTGCGCTGCCATTCAATGAGATCATGGCTGATCTGAGAATCCTCAACTCCACTTTCCTGCCTTTTCCTCATTACCTTTGATTCCCTTACTGATTAAAAATCTATTTATCTCAGTCATACAGCATAGAAACAGGGCCTTCTGCCCACTATGTAATGTGTACAGTTCTGCTTGTCCTGTTACAGGAAGGATATTAAATTCGAGAGGGGTCAGAAAAAAATTTACCAGGATGTTGCTGGGATTGGAGGGTTTGAGCTATAAAGATAGGCTGGATAGACTTGAACTTTTTTCACAGGAGCATAGGAGGTTGAGGTGTGACATTATAGAAGTTTATAAAATCACGAGGGGCACAGATAAAGTAAATAGCGAAAATCTTTTCCCTCGGGTGGGTGAGTTCAAAACATGGGGGCATATTTTTAAGTTGACAGGAGAAAGATTTAAAAGGGGCCTGAGAGATAACTTTTTCATACAGAGGGTGGTTTGTATGTGGAATGACTCGCCAGAGGAAATGGTTTATGCAGGTACAGTTACATTTAAAAACACTGGGTCAGGTACATGATTAGGAAGGTTTAGATGGATATGGGCCAAACACAGGCAAATGGGTCTAGTTTAGTTCAGGAAACTTGG